CTTGACTCTTACCACATGCCCAGGGCTGTCAAAATTTCTGGAGAGGAGGCTCTCGGTACTGAAAATACGCGTATTTCTTGACTGAAGTCTCCCTGAAACGACAGAGAAGATAGTTAGCCAGTCCTGTGAGTGCATCAGCCTAAACCATCCCAGCCTCGTGGGTGAACTGGGTTTGTGTGGTGTCTGGAGTTCGCAGCCTGGTGCCTGGTGTTTTGTGGTGAGAGGGTCAGAGCTACATAGGGAACATGCTCTGAGCCTGGAAGCCCCCTCGGCTTCTAGGGCATTAGAGAGTGCTAGCACAGGGCTTGGGAAGTCTGAGAAGGAGGCTCCCACAGAGGACCCCTTCATCCCTTGCCTGTAGCACAGGTCCCACGTCCTCCTTCTGTGCGTCCTCCCCAAGCCTTGGCTTATTTCTACTGCCTTACTGTCAAGAAAAAACAAAATCCCTGCCCAGAAGACCCTCTGCTCCCTTTTGAGAGCTCTCTGCACCCCCACTCTTCCCCAGAGTTATAGCTTGTAATTTATCTATCCTATTCTATTTCTCTCTGAAGGGCAGGCGGGTTTGAAAGCTCAGAGAAAGTTGATTCTGGGTGGTAAGGGTACATTCTGGGAGCAGAAAAAGTGTGAACGTCTGGATTCCACAGACTAGAAAGGAAAAACGTACCCAACTCTTGTTGCCGCCGAGGCAAGAGGTCATAAATATTTTTGGCTCGTTGTCTGGATTGTGGCAGAGTTAGAATGGGCATGACAGCAACTTGGAGGAAAGGAACTTGCCCTGTAAGGCAATGAGAGAGACAGGGGTCACAGCAGGGTCAGCTGCACTGAATGCATGGACTCATGGGGACGAGGTGGCTCCTGAAACTATTCCCCACCCTCACCAGGACTCATCAAGAATACAGTTTCAGACTTGAACTAGAGGCACTGGGGAATAGGGGACTCAGTAAACAGGAAGAGGACACTGGGCACAGGGGTCCTAGGGCCAAGTCTTTCCCAGTGGAACTCAGATCAGCACTGGGCCTTTGGAGCCACAGCTCAGGAGCTTAGTGAGACAATGATCAATATGTCAGATA